ATTTAGCCTCCTCGGTTCTCCATAACTGTTTCGAGAACCGACACCGACATCACGACTGTCTACAACCCCCGTTTCGGTGTCTCCAGTGATTATCGCGGGAGGATCTCGCGGGAGGATCGGGGATTGAAGAAAGTAATCGAGGAATCGAGGAAAGGTTGCCGTCCGTTAATCTAAAAGGCGTGGGAAGATTTACTTCTTTCTCGAGGAAGCCGGCCCTGAGAGCGATCTGGTTCTCCTTCATGCGGCGCGCGTCCCGTGATCGTTTCGCCGCCATGTTGTTCTTCCTACGACGCGCCCAGTATTTGTCATCCTTCAGGTCATCCGGAACGAACTGTTGGTCACAAACGGCGGATCATAGAGAACAGAAGAAAATTAGATTAGAAATTGGCTCGGCTATAAATAGGCTCGCCGCGAGTCCTCCCTGTCCTCCGCTACCCTCGTCCCGGTTTTCGCGTGACCCGAGAAAAAGGTCGAGGTTCTCCAGGTCGATTTGAAACAATTACACAGCTATAGTAGATTAAATCGTCAACGCCTTGCCGTACCTTTCGATCTTTGTCCAAAATTTCGAATGCCCGAAGCACGAACGTTGCTCCGTCTTTTTCAGTCCGAATAAAATTCTGTTCTCGCGGCATCGGAGGTCAAGCATTCGAGCGAATTTTAGACACTCGACGAACATAAATTCGACGTTCTTTTTTCTACGAAATCGTTACGATAGAGAAAATTGCGACCGACTGCTCAGACGACGACGACGACGATGGTACGGCAAAGGGTTAAAAGAAGATGTTCGAAATCTGGGAATTCCAAAATGAATTTCGCGGCTTCTCTGTATTTTCGAGGCTCTGTATTTTCGAGGCTGGTGTCTCTGTACTTTCCTGGCTCCATTGCTGAATGCGCACGCCGTTCTTTCGAAATGCGCCGCATCATTTTGTGCGGAACATTTTTGATAAAGTGATTCGATCTACGTGCCCATTCAGCCATGGGAGCCATTAGTCACTTAAGGTCCAGATAGAAGTCTCTAACTGCGGATCCGAGAACTTAGATGCGGCTGAAGTGTTACGCGGGTCATTCCGTTTCTAAGAATATAGATTTACGGCAGATTAGGACAATTGCGGTTTACGAGTTCGAGGATGTTGCGCTCGATGCAACTGAAACTGCGAGGAGCTGGATAAAACCCCATTGATCGGAGAACGGGGGGAAAAGAAAGAACGCGGTCCACGCGACGAACGTTTTCGTTCCCTTCGACGCAATTCTATATTCTTATATTCTTATCACTATGCACTCGTTACACGAGCATACTTTTCTCCCGAGCAACGACGTTCTCGAATTAATTCGAGATCCTTGTATCCTCGTGTTCGCGAGAGCAACTGCGCAGAGTGCCTCGGGAGTTCGTCGAACAACTTTTCCAGCAAGCTTGGCGCAACGTTCCGTACCAAAGAGACAATTTGTTCGCACGGGTGGAAAGTTTATTCGCCGATAATTGAGTCTGTTTGTTTAATGCTCGAACGGCGGACCTTTTTCGACTAAGTTACAACCGAGCGTTCTCGGGGATGATCGTTCGTGATTTTGCGATCGTTGGAGATCAGTTTTGAATTCGTAAAAATTATGAATTAATTGTCCGAACAATGGACAGTGGTGGAACGACGATATTTAGAATCCGTCGCGCCGTCCAAGCGCTGAGGGAACGTCGGGAACAGTGGTCGACGGAGCTCGCGGGCACGGTGCGCAACGCGGCAAGTATTATCTTGCGTAATAATATCAATGAATAAATAGTAGGCAACACACCGAACTCACCTGCTTCCGTGATTTCTTGATCATCGGCTGCGGTTTCAGTTCCTCGTCGGAGAAGGCCCGGGTGCGTGGATCGAAGTCTCGCCCCGATGAGGCCATCGAGAGCGCTACAAGAGACAAGCCATATTGTATTCGTGACGAGTCCCCGGAATCTGTCGCGCGGAGAGGGATCTGATCAATCGATGATTCTCTAATGATGTTCGACCGTAGAGGGTCTAGCCTCTGCAGACGCGCGAGAAACAAAGTAGATACCGAAGTGACAGAGAGAATGTAAAGACAGCGGGCGTGGAACAAAATATAATTGAACGACATCGATTCTCGGGGCTAAACCGATCCGATGATCAGATGAATAGATCTATCGGAGAGCAAACGATCTGTCGGATGGAAACAGGGACTCGAGATACCGGTATTACACCATGTATTTAGTTATCGATCATCTATTTTCAAGGTATTTTCAACGTACGATTTTTCATGGAAAATATTCTTCGAAACGGAATCGACAGTTTGCATCCGCGTTTTCTTCATTTTCCGATACGATCTCGTAACATTTCGCAGTTCCAAATAAGCCTGTTATAAAGTGCGATCTTTCAGCTGTTATTCGAGCTCTCAAGGGTTTACAAATTCTTACGGGATCGTATTCGAAAATTGAACGGAAGCTGTTTCTTGAAATAGGATCGTTTTTTCTTTCGTTCTCGATGGAGGTTTCCTAATTTTGTCGACACGATTTCGCAATTTTATATAATTATAAATAATACTATCATAAAGTGCGATCTTTTAGCTTTTATTCGAGTTCCAAAACGGTTGAAAATATCCGCGGGAGGGCACTCTAAAATTGAAATGGAGTTACCATCCCTTAAAAATCGTGTCGTTCTGCTCGCGATACTTGTCGGCGTTTTCTTAATTTTTCAACGCGATTTCGTAATTTTCTACGATTATGAACCATTCCATCAGTAAGCGCGATCTTTTAGCTTTTCTTTGAGACCACGAGCGTTAAAAAATTTTTCCGAGAACCCGTTCTAGAATCAATCCGAAGCTACTACCCCTCATAATAGAGTCACTTCCCCTTCGGTTCTCTATGGGGATTTCTTAATTTCTTCGACATAATTTCGTAATTATTTACAATTATAAATAATCTTATAATAAAGTGCGATCTTTTAGCTTTCATTTGAGTTCAAAAACGTTCGAAAATACCCACGGCAGTGCACTCTAAAATTGAAACGAAGTTACCCCTTAAAAATCGAGTCACTCTGCTCGCGATACTTATCGGAGTTTTCTTCATTTTTCAACGCGATTTCGTAATTCTCCACGATTATGAACTATTCCATCAGAAAGTGCGATCTTTTAGCTTCAATTCAAGCCCACGAACATTAAAAAAATTTGTCCGAGAACCCATTCCAAAATCGATCCGAAGCTACCCCCTAAAATAGCGTGACTTTTCTCGCATTTCTCAATTACATTATCCCAAAACATCGTATGCGATTACACGAATTTTTCAGTATGATAAACCGCGATTCCCTTCAATTCCAAGAACCATTAAAACCACGACGACCCTTAAACATAACAAAATTCCAATTACAGAGACAAATCCCCTCCACGAGAATAATAGCGACGGATTCGTTTCGCATTCGCTTCGAACGAAGACGATTCGCTGGTGCAATACCGGTATCGAGACGACTTGCTGGCGCAAGGTCCCAAAAGTCCAGCCGATGCCAAGGCGACATCCGGCTGGGGAAGCACCTGCTCGGAAGTAAAGAAGAACCGGAAGCAAGACTACTCACTGGAGTCCGCGGGCGAGGGAGGGTTCATGGTGTCGGGTGAGCAACATTCGCTCGGCGAGGGTGATCTCTCGCGCTTGGTCACGGGCTCCAGGTGGACCCCGGCTGGTCCCTGGTGTCCAGGTGCTTCGGTGTTGTTGATCTTGTGCAGAGGCCCGGTCTGCGTCGTGCCCTGCCCGCCGCCGGCCACGCCGTCCGCAGGAATGCCATTCTCGGAGAGGAACTCGTCGAGATCCACATACTGCAATACGGTATCGTCACTTGATGACTCTCTAACACGGCCCGATCTAGCGAAACATCGCGATCCTCTCCGATCTCGCTGCAGAGAGCGTCGGAGACTGGCTCGAGGTTGCTCAACGCGCGACTCGGGGGATTATTGCACCGTGCCGGTCGATCAGGGACACCCGTGTACCTTGTCTGACACGATCTGATACCGAAGAGCCTAACCTCGACAAACCCTAGAAAGGATACCGTGCTCTCTCCGGCGTGTGGAACACCGAGGATCTTCGTACAGAGTCGCGATACAGTGAATTCTCTTTAATTCGCGCTCAAATTGTGCACAAAAATGGACGATCTGGGAAGAAGAGATGGCATTATTCGAGCCTCGCGGCTCGTTTTTGTAGTTACCGATTGTCAACAATCGTTTATAATAAATACAATTATCTCAAAATTATGATACTTCCGGGAAATGATTCCTCAGGTCATTTGAAGGGACTTTCTCCTTTGCGAAAATGCAATCTGCCGCTTCGTTTACGAGTTATTAACGAAAAACACTGACCGCGTACGGCTGACGCCCCGCCCTCGCGACCACTGCTGCTGCGACAGGTGGCTCGCGCGGCGCGGCATTCGCCGCAAGGGCGGAGCGCTGGCCGCACTCGCGCTCCGATTGGTCGGCGTTTTTCGTTGATAACTCGTAAACGAAGCGGCGGATTGCATTTTCGCTAAGGAAAAAGTTGCTTCAAATGATCTCAGGAATCCCTCAGTTCCCGGAAGTGCCATAATTTTAGGAATTTTATATGTAATCGAATAATCGTATCTCCGCTTCCCAAATTGTCCCGTGAGGCGACTCTGGGGCACCGCGAAAAATTGTTTCATCGCGTTCCAAAATAATTTACAAATCTCCAAAATTGTTTATATTTTTAAAAAAGCTATTAAAAGTGTTGCATATGCCACAAGAATCGATTTCATCTGCATAAAAATGCAACTATTTTGGATTTAGAGCTAAAACGTCTCCGAGCGCAAGGAGTCGAAAGCAGAGTCCAAACGAGCTTAGGTCCCGCCACTTTCATAAAACGGTTTTTAAGGGTTTTCGTCAGCTAGAGCAGCTTCCTCCTTGATCTTTCCAGGGTTAATTGTCGAGAGTAGCACTTAATGGGCTTGAGATTGAGTGAAACACGTTAGGACAGATGTTCGAGGCTGTTCTGCTGCAGCACTGCGCGCTTCTATCGGCGATCACGATGCTGTAGGAGACACTCGCGGCGGTCATTTCTGACCCAACCTTCGCATTAGCTCCGTGAACACCGATAGAAGTGCACAGCTCCGCTCGAGGATACCATTGTAAAGGAGAACGACATAAACGGCGGTGTTATTAATGTGCGTCGAACAACGAACTCGGGGAAATCATCGAATGTGCTGCGCATGAACGATCGAATCATGTTGCGAAATGCTATGATCGGTGGACGCAGGGTCCTCGACGATTGCTAGGACCTTATTGTTCCCGATTTTCATAGTCTCTCGCGACTTCGCTACTGCATCGACGCAATTTCGACCGGACAGAGCCCTAACCGGTTATCGGCGTAACAGAAACGACTATCGCATCGATATCGCTACTATCGACTTTTGCTTGCGATCGTTTCCTAAAACTTCTCGCTCGGTACCTTTCGCTAACCTTGAGCTCCTGTCGGGGCGATCATCGAATCCAACGGTACTTTCTTTCAACGAAAAGTTGATAACGAACGATGATAGCAACTGCAAGGAAACGAACAGAGAACGGAAAATGAAAGCGGTTAGGAAAGAGCGCGTGCGAGATGAGCGGAACAGATTAATTGTCGTTCATAATCGGAAACAGAGAGAGAGAGAAAAAGGGAGGGAGAGAGAGAGAGAGAGAGAATGTGAGGAAGAGAGAAAGAGAGGGAGCGATAGAAAGAGAGGCAACGAAAATCGGGACGGAAGAGATCCTAAAGCTTCTACGAGAGAGAAAAAGAGAAAGAGAGAAAGAGAGAGAAGGAGAGAGAAAGAGAGAGAGAAAAAGAGGAGAGAAAAAGAGAGAAAGAGAGGGAAAGAAGAAGAGAGAAAGAGAGAGGCAACGAAAATCGGGACGGAAGAGATTCTAAAGTTTCTATCAGAGAGAAAGAGTGAGAAGGAGAGAGAGAGAGAGAAAGAAAGAGAGAGAGGGAGAGAGATAAAGAGAGAGCTAAGAAGAGAGAAATAGGGAGAAAGAAAAAGAGAAAAAAGAAGGGAGAGAGAAAGAAAGAAGGAGGGAGAGAGAGAAAGATAGGCAACGAAAATCGGGGCGGAATAGATCCTAAAGCTTCTACGAGAGAGAAAGAGAGAGGAGAGAGAAAGAAAGAGAGAAGGAGGGAAAGAAGGAGAGAGAGAGAAAGAGAGGCAACGAAAATCGGAACGGAACACATCCTAAAGCTTCTACGAGAGAGAACGACGTTCGATCCACGCGGTTGTTTCTTTCTTGTTTTTGGGATTCAGGTTCAGCCGGGTTTGCGGCGGGCTTACCGTGTTCGCGTTTTTGTACATACATGGTTCAATACCTTCAGGTCGGCATCATAGGGCAGAGTTTTGTCCCAGAGGTTCGGGCCGAGGAAGGCGGCCTGCGCTTCCACGTTGCCCCATAGCTCTCCGTCTGCGTCCTTTTTCTCTTCTTTCCCTGAAAACACAAAATTCCGCAACGTTAGACGCTTTGAGCCCAATTAGATCGTAGAATGCGTTGCCACGTGTGTCAGCTATGGCATGCGATCGATAAGAAAGATAGTTTTATACATTGAAGATTGTTTATTCGTTCTGACAAAGGCGAAGCGATGTTGGAAACTGTTCGCGCCCAGCCTTTATCAAATAAACACGTCGAAAACTTCGACTCTGAACAATAAATTTGTCGGTTTATTTACCTACAGGGTCGACGCACGTGCGAACAGTTCGCTGCTAATTGCGGTCGATTTTCATCAGAAATTGTTCAACTTGTAACATGATTTTCGGAATATCGTTACATACTTTAATTCAATCTTTTTTATAAAATAGAGGTTTATAATGTTTTTGCTGCAGTTACATTTTTGTATTATAGTTTTATAATATTTTTTGTATTATAGTTTTATAATATTTTTTGTATTATAGTTTTATAATATTTCTTGTATTACAGTTTTATAATACTCAATTATTAATAGATCGCGGATTTCATCCATTTACGAGAGAAATGAGAACATCAAATACAAGACAGTATATATAGAAGCATTGAATTTATTTAAAGATACTATTGCATTACTTGTGACTCGATAGAATGATCAAAGGAAGAATTGAACGTCTAAACAGCTTCTGCATCTTGCAATTAATCCGAACAATTTTTATTTCGCATAACTATCCACAATCTAATTATTAATTACCGGAGTGATGACTTTTATCACTCTGGAAGAAGAAGCGAATAACATTCATATTTGGCAGATCACTTATGAAATCTTTACCAGCCTGGCTCATTTTTATCGCGCAAAGGGGTTAATTACCAAGCAGGAACGACGGATGCAGAAAACTTCGCTGCGATCGCTGAAGACCCTCAAGCTATCATCGACCAGTAAAATCGCGAAGGAATTAAATCTGGATCTCCGAGGACCTTCGACCGAGTATGGACCTTTTCTTATCGAAAATACAGATTCTGCCTGAGAGCGACCGACGACGAAACGCGAGGGAAATAATGCACCGGCGAAATGTTAGCACACACGTTCTTATTCAGCTTTAGAATACGCGATGACACGCTCCCCCGTCCTCTCCGCGACGCTTTGCATCTTTTCTGCCCCTAGCGTTTGCGAACCGCAGAAAAAAGAGAGAGAAAGGGAGGCAGATAGAGATAGTGATCTCGTGAGAGAGAGGCGGGAGGCAGAGAGAAAGAGAGAGTGAGCAAGAGGGACAGAGAGCGAGAGAGAGAGAGAGAGAGCAAGAGGGAGAGAGAGCGAGAGAGAGAGAGAGAGAGAGAGCGCGAGAGTGAAAGAGCACGAGGGTGAGAGAGCGCGAGAGTGAGAGAGCGCAAGAGTCAGAAAGCGCGAGAGTCAGAAAGCGAGAGAAAGAGAGCGAGAGAAAGAGAGCGAGAGATAGAGAGCGAGAGAAAGAGAGCGCGAGAGTGAGAGAGCGCGAGGGTCAGAGAGCGCAAGAGTCAGAAAGCGCGAGAGTCAGAGAGCGCGAGAAAGAGAGCTAGAGTCAGAGAGCGCGAGAAAGAGAGCGAGAGGAAGAGAGCGCACGAGAGAGAAAGAGAGCGCGAGGGAGAGCGAGAGAGCATGGCCATCAGAAATTGCTTCGTGGAAGAAACGAAAAAGAAAAGAGCGCCGGGTTCGTGGCTGGCCTTGGAGATGTTCCTCCAAAAATAGTGAGGCCTAACCACCGCCAACGCCATCGTCCTCGAATCTCTCTCTATCCTCTCTTTCTTTCGCGTTCCTTCCGCGTTTTTTATCCTCCGGCCCCATCGAAAACCGCGTTAATTGTTTGCGATGGCCGGCTACACCATTCTGCCGATCTCTATGGTTATCCTTGGCGGAGTCGCACCGCTTCGAACGCCGAACGCCGAGTGTTCTCGGTGATCGATAGGTTCGATGATGGATCTACGACCGTGGTCCTTGTTCTGGTTTCGAACTGGACTTGTAAGATTCGTCCTAAGACTTTTTCGCCGTCGAGAGAGAGACCAATGCCAGATACAACTCGAACGATTTTGCGTGCGAAACAAAAATCGTGCGCTTCGATTGCAACGAACAGAAGCGAAATGGAAAATTCTTTCTTTCTCGAGTCATTTAAATCAACGAAAAACAATGCATCGACCTACTTAAACTCTTTAACCCTTCCATGGGCACGATATGAATTTTCACTTTTTTTTTTTTATGAAAAGATACCGTTCAATTGTAATTAGTGTTACCATTAACTCGACTTTTTTGAAAAAGTGACTTATGCCACTTTCAAAATGAACGGCTCATATGCGCACTAAAAGTGGGCGGGAAGCTTAGTTCTTAGTGCCTATGAAAGGGTTAAATAATTCTACGATTTTCAATTGTTGCTACTCGGCGATGAATGCGAAAAATCCGCGGTCAACAATAAATCTACCGAGCGTTAAAATTGGCGAACGCGCGTTGCTCTCTATAAGAACGATAATTGCAATTTATTTAGACTTTCTACAATTTTTATTACAACGACTACATCTCGATTATGAAATTTATCGAATCGTTTCCTATAAATAGTCCGTGTAACTTCAGCAATTTACAAATACAAAATGCGAAACAGGTAATTTTCACCGGCTTGGCAGGTTTAGCGTTAATACGACAGCTGATCGCGAAATTGCCTGGGGGGCTGGCTGCGGCTGAACTGGACTTATATCGCAAAAAAATAATCATTTTCCTCTCGCTTGTACTATCATTACTTTTGCTTCTTGCGCGTTTCACGCGTTCCACCACGAGCACGCGATATATCATAAACCCAAACGATTTTATAATTCCAGCGAGCGCCGCGCCCGCGGGAGCGAACAATCGCGAGCGAAACAAACGTTCTTAATACTCGCGAAATGATAGAAAATCCGTGAAAATTCCGCGGACACCTGTCGGTCTCGTCCGGGTTCGTTAAAGCAGGTCCGCTGATCACGGGCAGACTCGGCGATCCGCGAGCAAACGGAGCTGAAACGCGGACGGTTTTTTTTTCGCGCGATCGAGCACCGCGACGGAGGATCGAGAGGATCGCGGTGGCAACGTGTCCACGGGAAATCGGCCGGCGATCTCGATGAAAAGTGACGGGGGGACGGACGTTTTAAAAGCCTAATAACCATACGGAATACACATACGCCGCCGGGTTTCTCCGTGCACGCTAGCTAAACAACTAAACAACGACAGCTCGCAATTTGGTTCAAGGCTACCGGTCGTCGCCAGCTCTGCGGAACTAATCTCGCGTTGCGTGGCCGCACCGTCGCCAGCTGGAACACGGGGAGGAGGCGGCGGGAAACGGCGACGAGGAAGGGAGCGACGGAGACGAGCGACGGAGGAGCCGATCGCGAGCGCGAAACGCGAGAAGAAACCAGCCGGGAAAACTGGACGACGATGGACGCTGACGGAAGACGACGGACAACGATGTGCAACGATGTGCAACGATGTAGAACGATGTAGAAGGATGTGGAAGGACGTAGAACGATGTAGAAGAACGTAGAAGGATGTAGAACGATGTAGAAAATTGTTGGAAACGATGAAGGACGATGGACAATCATGGACAACGTCGAACAACGACGAACAACTATATACAATGCTGAACAACGATGAACAACACTGAACAACAATGTAGGAGGATGTGTAACGATGTAGAAAAATGTTCAACGATTTAGAACGGTATACAACGATGTAGAAGGGTGTACAACGTTGTAGAAGGGTGTATAACGTTGTAGAAGGGTGTACAAGGATGTTGAAGAGAGTTTAACGATGTAGAAGGGTGTACAAGGATATAGGTGGATGTACAAGGATGTAGAAGGGTATACAACGATGTAGAAGGGTGTACAACGTTGTAGAAGGATGAACAACGATGTAGAAGGGTGTACAAGGATGCAGAAGGCTGTACAACAATGTAGAAGGGTGTACAAGGATGCAGAAGGCTGTACAACGATGTATAAGATGTGCAATTATGTGCAAGGATGTACAACGCTGGACGACCATGTTCAACGATGTACAACGATATACAACGATATACAACGATATACAACAATGAGCAACGATGTACGATTGTGTGCAATTATTACTATGTACAATTATATAGAACGATGTATAATAATGTACCTACAACGATATACAATTATGTGCAATTATCTACAACTATGTACAATTATGTAGAACGATGTATAATAATGTGCCTACAACGATGTACAACGATATAAAACGCTATACAACGATACACAACACTATACAACGATCTACAACATTATACAACGATACACAATAATGTACAATTATGTACAACGATGTATAATTATGTACAACGATGTACAACAATGCACAATGATGTACAACGATGTGTAATTATGTACAACGATGTATAATTATCTACGACAGTGTACAATAATGTCCGACGATGTATAATAATGCCCGACGATGTAAAATAACGTACAACGATGTATATTAATGTACAACCCCGGACAACGATGTTCAACAATGACCAACGCCGTACAAGTTTGAAAAGAGGATACAGTTCGATCGCAACGGGAAAGGCGCGAAATCGGAGGAAAGAAGAAGACAGATATATCCGAAAGATTGAAAGCGTTCGGTTATCACGAAATCAGGAAGCAATTCGACGTATTGATGGTAGGAAACGGTTTTCCATCGAGAAGTCAGTATGCCTTCAAGATAGATAGGAAGTGTTTGATTATCGCGAGGAGAGGAAACGTTCGGCAATCATGGAAACACGTGGTATATAGAAGATTTTGATGAATACGGATGCTACTTTCTTCACGACTTCCCGATTAATCCGGGGCGAAACAAGAAATCGGTTGCGCAGACCTTTCGAACGGCAAAAATCTGAAAGTTTCAAGATGCGGTGTTATTGATCGTCCGAGCGCCTTTAGAAATTACGATCGTATTCAGAGAATTAACGAGACGAATATTGAGCGGTTCACGCTGACAAATGACTCTGGACTGCGGATTTAATGCGTTTCGT